AACCATCTACTATCTGATTAAACCATGTAGCTAATTACAAACCATTACCTATCTGATTAAACCATGTAGCTAATTACAAACCATCTACTATCTGATTAAACCACGTAACTAATTACAACCCATTCACTATCTGATTAAACCATCTAACTAATTACAAACCATGAACTATCTGATTAAACCGTGTATCTAATTACAAACCATCTACTATCTGATTAAACCATCTAACTAATTACAAACAATCAACTATCTGATTAAACCATGTAACCTATTACAAACCATCAACTATCTGATTAATTGTCAGGATTCCTTTCTAAAAGTGTTTCCAATCAGGTACGCATCTGGACCTTGCCCTTTATATAAGTGACTTTTCCCAAGACGTGTATAATATAATCACTTGATACAGACTGAAGAACACGTAATGATTAACATTTTAGGAGAGTGTAAGAAAGAAAAAGATTTTACCTACGTGTAAATCTTTATGATGGTTTTATTTCTTGTTATTTATATCAATATAGCAACATTAGGACAGATTTATTTTAAACCAAATATGGCGTCAGTAGACACTCCCAACATATACAGGAAAAAGATTTTATATATCCGATTGTTTTGTCATATAGATAGTATAAGATAGTGTGAGTGACAAAGCATTAAAGTAAGATAAATAAAGATTAATTTTATGTGAATTTTGAAAAAGCTTCCCGGATTGATAACGAACAATATTGTACCTAGGATGGTATTGATTTGAAGTTCTGTGGGATTAACGATCTTGTCTTGATTTCTATTTGTTTAAATATAATAAAATGATGATTGCTTTCATTAAATATTAAATCATAAAAACGAATTACCATGATTGTGTCAATATGGGTTCGTTAACATTACAAGTATATGTGTAACGACAAATCATACATAGTTTATCAAATCGATTTAATTCAAACTAGTTATCCATACGTTCATAATGTACCCTGTTATACTTGAGGTATAACTGAAATGCACCGTAGTGTTTATTTTGTGACAGGTATAGTTTTGTTTTGTTAATTGAGATTATTAGCTGAGAAAATTCTACAATGTAAAATAAATTTGAAATGCAGTAAAGTCATTTCTTTCAATTTTATGTTATATAAAAACACATGATTGTTTGCAGACAAACAAATGCTATAAGGGACACTATTCCGTAATCAAGAACTACCACGTTATTGTTTTGCAGACAAACAAATTCTATAGGGGTAACATTCTGTAAGCTAAAATTACCACGCTACGATTGTTTTGCAGGCATCAATTGTTTAGATAGATATGTACATTTTCTGTTTACTATTACGATTCTTTTGTATTCAGTAACGTTTTATAAATGGGGTTATAACAGTTAATGTTCGAATTGATATTTTATGATTTTACTAACAATGAATGGATCCCACTCTATTATTTGCACAAAACTTATAATTAGTATTGGTTTAAAAACTATCATTAAAAAGAGGCTTTTCAATGTTACAATGGTGATAAACATCAATGGAAGCATTGAAAATATGGTCAGTTGTGCGTGTATTGTATCAATATGGACAAATTGTCAAAAGGTAGTAGGTTTTCTCAGATATAATGTATGCATTTTTTATATAAATTAATAGTTGAATACATTGTCGATAGGTGGTATGTTTATAATGTATACATTCATTATATAAATAAAAAGTTGAATACATTGTCGATAGGTGGTATGTTTCCTCTAATATAATTTATACATTCTTTATATAAATAAAAAGTTGAATACATTGTCGATACGTGGTATGTTTCCTCTAAAATAATGTATAAATTCTTTATATACATTAAAAGCTGAATACATTGTCGATAGGTGGTATGTTTTCTCCAATATAATGTATGCATTCATTATATAAATAAAAAGTTGAATACATTGTCGATAGGTGGTATGTTTTCTCCAATATAATGTATACATTCATTATATAAATAAAAAGTTGAATACATTGTCGATACGTGGTATGTTTCCTCTAATATAATTTATACATTCTTTTATATAAATAAAAAGTTGAATACATTGTCGATAGGTGGTATGTTTTCTCTAATATAATGTATACATTCATTATATAAATAAAAAGTTGAATACATTGTCGATAGGAGGTATGTTTTCTCCAATATAATGTATACATTCTTTATATAAATAAAAAATTTAACACATTGTCGATAGGTGGTATGTTTCCTCTAATATAATGTATACATTCTTTATATACATTAAAAGTTGAATACATTGTCGATAGGAGGTATGTTTCCTCTAAAATAATGTATAAATTCTTTATATACATTAAAAGCTGAATACATTGTCGATAGGTGGTATGTTTTCTCCAATATAATGTATACATTCTTTATATACATTAATAGTTGAATACATTGTCGATAGGTGGTATGTTTTCTCCAATATAATGTATACATTCTTTATATAAATAAAAAGTTGAATACATTGTCGATAGGAAGTATGTTTTCTCCAATATATGTATGCATACTTTATACAAATTCAAAGTTGAATAAATTGTCAATAGGTAGCAGGTTGTTTCCAATATAATGTAAACATACTATCAAAGTAACTACACACGAATCGTCAGTGGATAACTCGTCTCCAATGAAAACAGCCAACGCTATTGTCCTGCCCAGCGTGTATAAGTATACACACGCCCACAGGTGCCTGGACGTGTACACACGTGTATAGTCATGTGCTCCGCAAATGGCGGGGCGTTCACTTTGATGTTCATTCTCACTACGAACTCTACAGAAGCCCTGGAATGGAGTGTCTACTGGTGGTGACGGTGTGAAATATCAAAGAAAGGTGTCATTATGTCTCAACTCCTAAAAGGAAAAAGACAGTAGTATAGTCATCAGACTCAGTCGTTTTCTGCTGAACATCATTTCAAATGTAATAAATTTCAATACAGAATATCAATCTTTCATAACTGTTTCAGTGGGTTTGTAAACACTTGACTTTACGATTATCAGTGCGACGTATAAACATGTTTATTTGATAATTTTGTTTAAAAACAGACGTTTGATATATCAACAGTGCTTATACGATACAAATAAGTAAGATAAACAATATTTTTATAATGACAACTGTGAACATTTTTCAAAAATAGAATAGAATTGTAAAAGCGCTATTGGGTAAAGCAGAATTTTTAACTGAACATGACAGACGTATCTATAGTTTAAAAGTAATACCTACACAGATTTACGTTTTGTTGATAATAAAATAACTGGGAAAAAATTAAGTGCACAGTATTCCTAATATAATTATTAACACAGAAAAAGGGTATTTCGGTTCTGACACTGGCCGTAATATCTAGCACAATACATTTCTATGAACGATCTTCCATTGTTTCTGATATGGAACAAAATGATCTATTACACATTAAATACGAATTAGGAATTATATCTGCAGATTCGTTTATTTTTCTTATTTTATGACAATGCAGTTGTAGAATACTTAGATGAATTACGTATTTAAACCATTTTTTATTAAAACTCTGAATTCTCCAATACAAGTATAATCAGCCGTTTATGGTACCTTTACCTCCGATATGCTTTGTGTTCAGTGTATAGTGGACTAGAGCCGATCTACTTGCTCTGTGCTGTACCCTGATGACCTGTAGATGTGCCACAGTATGGCCAACAGTCTGACTGCAGTCCAACACATCCGACCCGCACTGTCCACGCGGTGAAGGTATTCACGCAATGCCCTCCTCCTTGAATATATCTCCTCCATTTGATCTCCAATCGCCCTACAACACCTCCCGACTAGTTGTGCGTCATTTAAATCCCCACTTTCCATTGTTTTTTTATAGAACTATCACACAGTCAAATCAAATATTACAAACAAAATATCTTCTCTTCTACTGCAGTAGCATCCGTCAGAATATAATCAAAACCTTTCCACTTGTAAAAACCCCCTTTTCAAGTTAAATGCGTATGTAAAGTTTCCACGTGCACAAAGTGTTCAGAATGCGGTCGATATGCGTTGTTGTTTGTTTTTCCGTGCTATTTATACCATTCGGTCACATGGAGAAATTATACCAATAAAATACTAGGCCCTCAAATATGCGAAAATTATTTTGTGATATTACTTGATTAATTTAGTTCGTCAAATGATTATATATATTCCGCTGAATAAACGTAGTTTCCCTTGTATTGGTTTATATTTTTTTTCTTTTAAATTCCTAAAGACAAATTACCAAGGCAATGTGCCATATAGGTCATATGAGATAATATGCAAATAACAGAAGTCACTCGATAAGGAAATATGCTTTCTTTAAATATATTGAAACAATTGTCTGTTTTATAAATTACGAAAATGATTGGATACGTAATTCAATCACCGTGATTTGATATATTTTACCTGATGTGAATACTGATTTCATTTACTGATGCTCAAAACATTACAATTGATCACAACCAAAGCTCATCAGATAACAGGCAGAATGACGTTGAGCGTTTAATGGAGCAGTTATCTCCCCTACGCACAGTGTTTGCCTTGGCACAGTACTTGCACAGACAGTACGGTATGTGGTACAGCGTTTGTACTCGTCTCGTGTTAGTCTGTCACTGGAATCTTCTTATCGGGGTCACGAACCTTGTCATCGTTTTGGTTCCCACGCCCCAGGACTCAGTCAGTGTCTTTCATAATACACTTATTGCCGTTCATCTTTATCACTTTCACTGTTTCCAAGTGTTTTTCATTTCTTAATTAGTTTGATTGCTTCCTTGAATCTTTAGCTAGTTCTTCCTGCATCGAAACTTCTATTAGTTTCTGTGTCGGAAGTAGAAATTCTCATGTGTCCTTTTACATCACAAACTATTTGGCTGAATGAAGATTTTAGTCATTTTCATTTATCTCTTAAAACTTTCTGTTAAATCCAATTCAAACCTGCTAAGCTAATTTAATAACATAAATTCCTCGCTTTTTGTGTTCAATCAAATACATATAGTGTCCAAGTAAAACAAAACTAATTAGAGATTGAATATGATTTAATGTTAACGTTATATCCACAAAACATCAACTTATTACCCAACGTTGAGATATAGTTTACATCGAAAACAACCGTTAGTGCTCATTGTTGTTCAATAAATCTATGATTTTGAAAAAGGGCTTGCCGTTATGCTTACATCTTTAAGAAACGAATCAGATTTTTAAAATGTGGATCACATTTTGTTACTGTACTAGAAAGATAAATAAAATATTACATAATGTCATTAATGAAAAACATTTACCCATGTTTCGCTTTTCTATTGTATGCAAAATTATGTAAATGACTAAACCTGTGATTTTATAATGTCACAGTCGGATGACAGGCATCACTATCGAAGTGTGTCATTATTGTTCATACAGTTAGTGAAGTTATTTAAACTTTATTCAATCGTCATGTTATTGACAAGTCAGTCAATATGTACAGTCAATATGAGACTGATAAGTAGCACATTAATAATTACATCACAATTATAGGAAACAATAGTATTTTTTAGTTATTATATTAACACAACACCTCGTATTTGCCACGAAGTTCGAATTAGTAATGAAATGTCTTGCAAGGTATTCCTTATATTTGTTGTGTCATTAGTTATAAATGGATTGGTATTTGTATTGGCGAACCAACTGTCGACACACAAAAACAGTCTACCTAATATCATATCACAATTACATGTAACTATTTGATATTCATTCAGAAGACATCCGGTTTGTCACATAACAGTCTATACATTAAACTATTGGTAAAATCTCCGTTTTGTATCTAATTTTGAGTGGAAGACTATGGATGTTGTTTGCGTTCCTCCCACATCGTTGCCATATATAATTTGCACAGATCCGTTGTAATGGTGCGACTGATTTAGAATATTCTACAAGTTTCGACTTGATCCTGGCTATTTGACTCTTAAGTCTATATGCATTGTTTCTACCATGTTCATGGTTGAACACTTGTAAAGTTTCTTGAATGGACTTGGCGGACATGTACCGACATAGGTCCAGCATGCTGTCAATGTCTGCCGTCCTATCAGGTTGTGTCTTATGTGATGGTACCGCCAAAATGCTGACAAAGAGGCTGTCCGTGAAGACGTTGATGCAGTATTTACCCTTGGCTTTAATATCAGGATTCGCGCCTTGTCGAAGAAAGACCTTTAGCACAGCAGCGTCTACTCCGAGTTTGACACTGGATTTTGCATATTGGTGGAGAACTGATCCACTCAAGGTGCTTTTATTGTCACCAAGGCGGCCAACCTGGTGAACATCAGCATCAAATCGGAACAGTACGTCAGAACATTCTGTGATGAACTTCACAGCCAAAGCCTTCGAGTCCAAATAGGATGCGTATATTTCTACAGTATCCAACAGACAGTGGAGAGCACTCGAGAATGCTGGTCTTCCTACGATAGACTTGTTGCCCTTCTTTTGCATGACTTTTTCATACCGAACCTCATCGAAGTTGGGGTTGGTGTTTGCCTTCAGCAGAAGCTTGAGACATGCCAGATAATACTGTGTATTGATGTAGTCATGGGCACACAAGGAATTGCGTAGCAACGAATATAATGGATACGTGTTGCATGGAGATTTTGTGTTTACATCATGGTGATATTTGATGAGAACCGAAGTCACATCCGGTAAACGTTTGTATCCCTCACGACCAAAGCCTTTCAAAGCACTGTTAGTATATAAAGCATGGTACAAATTCGTGCCCCTCATGACCTCACAGGTATTTACACCCGTTCCAAGCAGTGAATCTAAAATTTCTGATCTTGCTCCGCTTATAGAAAATTCGACAGCTCTAAGAAGATCTTTTTTGTCGTACTTTTGTGACAGTAAGAAGTTCACGGCTTTTGATGAACCAGCTAGGGTAGCTAGGGACAGATATCCACACTTGGCGTGCTCAGGGTATGCTTTGATAACACACTGATTCAGAATTAGGTGAATACTTTCCAGGTGACCGGCGGAGGCAGCGACGTCCAGTGGAGTCACCTATAGAGAATATAAAAAAGTTACTTATGATATACAATAACATTACATGCTACGTGCTGTACGTATTCAGTACTTAAGGTCGAATGAGTGTATTGATAAACGGAAATAGGAAGTACATTCCTAGCTGAAAATCAAATGTAGGGAGACAGTATCACAATTTCCGCATATTCTAATGAGTCTTACAAAGTGCCAAAAATACAGGAAAAATAAGTAGAATACATTGTTGATAATTACATTACCAAAGAGTTTTCATTCTTGACAGAATGTTAGAATACAGAAATACATTGTAGTATAAATACTGTGTAATGAGTCATTATGTTTATGTTTTGTCCATTGTTTAATCTTAAACTGATGAATATTGTATGTTTATTATTGCCAGGACAGTGTGTTCTCTCAATATTAAAGTATTTTAAAGCAACCCAGGCATTAATTCAGTTGGGTTTTTATCAATGAGTCACACGTGTCCATTTTTCTGTACTACTTTCTGAAAACGGCTACCTATTTCACTACTGTGAAGTTTTTCAAGAAAGATAACTCTTACATGCAATTACTATGTGTATATGTTTTATTATAAAATGTCAATTTTTAATCGTTTATAGAGAATTTATTTTACTCAATTTCAGCATTTATTAAATTGATATACATTAATACAATACTAATCTATGTTAGTTTCATTTTTATTGACATTTGTTTGCAAAACATTGTGTCTCATTTTTTTCTTCAAAATTCACTCTTTTTTACATACATTACCATTTAAAATCCTTAAAATTCTGACAACCTATCTTTTTTGGTGGCAGAACATTTTCTTTACTTCAGAGCAATTTAACTTCAAAATTTGAAGAAATTCTACAGAGAAATGGTGACACAAACCTACTAACTTATACTACTTTACAGACTCCATGATATTACTACTTTACATAGTCGGTACTTGTACTACTCTAGTGTTCTGCACTTCATTCATATCCTCCGTACATTGGTACTTCTTTAGTGTACTTATACCATTTTAGTATTCTGCCCTGTTACTTTTTATTATGTATTTGTCATGCTTTGTGTACTAAGTCCGCATCCTTCAAAAATAGTTACATGTATGTCATGAAATATGAAATAGTAAAGATATCATGCGAAACTTTATTGACAACATTACCCCAGAAACGTGTCTAGATGAGGAACTCTCATCCGGGAACTTCAGGTTCTTTGACGGTCTATTGTCGCCTGGTCGATGGGTGAGGAGGATATTTATAATTGTTCTGAAGCCTAAGTATGCAGCCAAATGGATATAAGGGCTCACTTCCGGTTCAAAAGGTCTCACAAAATACCCATGCGTCAATAAATATTCCACCACTTCTGGATTATTGCTGAGAATAGTATGGTGTAAGACATCCATCTGCTTTTCGTCCTTCCACTGAATAAACTGCTCACGGTTGCACATACCTAATAATAATTTCAATTTGTTGCATCCTTCTTTTTTCTTTACAATCGCCAGGCATTCTTTCACTACCGCGGCTACGTTGTCGGACGCCATTTTCCGTGTCTGGTTTTATCGTTGGCCACTACCACCAAAGCGTCAGTGCCCTGTAAAACAGCCATGATTATAATGATGTATCACATGCTTTCTTTAACAATATTGGACTACGGAATGTTATCAATGGAGTGGTGCTTTGAAGTGAATGACAGTTGATGTAGTTATTCCTTTCTGTATAAACATATTAATTCCACTGACAATGCCAGAGCGTCTACAGTATAATCGGTGTCTGGCACTAGCTGTACACTGCAGATAACACATACCTATTCTTTGTTTAAATACCTTCACTGCGACGCCGGCAACTACTGGGTAAAGCTGTAGAGTAGAAATTAAAGAAACTCTTGACTCACGATTTGTACTATATAACCAATACGCAAATATATATGATCGAAAGGAAGTTTGGTATAGGTATTAAGATAGATGTTAGAACTATAGATCTGGAAATAATAATAATAATAATATACAACATTTATATGGCGTCCTATATAATTTGTAAAATTACTCTAAAGCTCTTTACAACATATGGATAGTAGCAATGGTTATAATTGTGAAAACAAAAAACAAAGGCTTACAATCACTTTTATACATTTAAGCAAGCAATGTGCACATAATTGAACAAATAAAAGGGTGGTATTTACATGACGTCTTTGCAAAGATTCTAAAATGGAGACGTGAAGAGGTGAGTTTTGATGTACATCTTTAACATGGCCAGGGTATTTGATTTTCTAATATCAGATGGTAAGCTATTCCACAACGTAGCCGAAACCCTCCAAAAGCATCTGTTTCCGTAGGTCACAGTACGAGATATTGGGACACAAAACAAAGATTCTGACTCCGACCGCGGTGATCGTGACGGATGATACAGGGTAACAAGCTGTTCCATTCAGTGCCTTATATGTGTACACCAGAATTCTGTACTGCGACCTGTATCGTACAGGTAACCAGTGCAACGAATAAAGCACAGGTGTGATGTGCTCTCTCTTTCGAGTACGAGTAACTAGCCGTGCTGCAGTGTTCTGGACCCTTTGCAGACGACTAGTTAGTTTTTCAGATATACCACAGAGCAGGGCGTTACCATAATCCAACCGCGAGGTAACTAGTGAATGCACCAAAATCTTGCATGCATCTGCAGTTAAAAACTGCCGAATACAGCCGATGTTCCTGATCTGGTAGTAACAGGATTTGGCAATAGCGTTCACTTGTTTCGCCATGTTCAGTGAACTATCAAAGTATACCCCTAGGTTTTTAACAGCTGGAACAGTCTCAATAGTTCTGGCACCGACCTTGAGCTGGAGAGCCATTGTTTGATGACACTTTGGGGAAAAGACGATTAGTTCCGTCTTTTCCTGATTAAGCTTAACCATGTTGGCGTTCATCCAGATACTGATATCTGTCAGACAAGCTTCCAGACTTTCTGGGACTGTATTCCAACTGTCCTGTGTAAATTTGTGCGTCATCGGCATAGCAATGATAGCGAAGGCTATGGCGACGACAAATCTCTCCAGTCGGTTTAGAGTACATACAATATTTTCGTGGTCCTAACACCGACCCTTGAGGAACCCCGAAATCTAGTACTTTGTCATGTGAGGTGGAAGATCCGATGGCAATGCAGAAGCTATATCATTATGCACACGTAGGAGGGCCGTCTCAGTAGAGTGTCCCATAACTAAACGCCGGGACACAACCTTCTCCAAGATCTGAGACAGAAAAGGCAGATTCGAAACTGGGCGGTAGTTTTTCAACTCATCTTTGACTCCACCAATGATTTGTTCATGATTGAGGTAATCAAATGAAGCAGTGCTTCAAGACACTTAATAGGTCTGTAGGCAGTGGATCAAGCTCACAGGACTTCGACTGCAAGGTCATGATAATGTTGCGCAACTCGTCCTGGGTTGTTGGCGAGAGCTTTGCCAATGGTTCCCCATCAAATGCAATGTCAACAGTCATGACAGAGATGTCAATGTCAGCAGAGGAGTTCACTTCGGCAATATTTTTCCTGATTGAGCTGATTTTATTCAGAAAGTAATCACTGAACTTGCTTGCTAAGTCTTTTTCAGAATTACAGCTTGGTAGGATCATTTCACCTTTCTGTCCCATTAGGTTTTTTGTGAGTCTATTATCCTTGCTGCATTCTTCGATTCTTTTCGAATAATAAGCCTTCCTTGACTGAAAGAGTAGTGGACCAACTAGCCAACATTGCTCTCTATAAATCTGTTGGTGAACGGTTAATTTGGTCTGTCGCCACTATCTCTCTGCTTTCCTCCGGTTCTGTTTAGTTACGCAGAGATTTTCATTAAACCACGGGGCATTTGGAAGTGTATGCTTCAACAAGATCATCAACCTCACCTCGGAAAGGTTGCTAATACAAGTTTGGTATCCATCAAATACAATGAAAGTTGTCTTATTAAAACGACATTTCGATATATTATCGTGGTAATACTGTGGAGTTACTGTATCACCGAATATAGTACATTTATCTCATTAAAACGTTATATTATCGACGTATAACCGTGCATACACTGTATCACCTTAGTTAAGTTATGTCGTTAAAAACGTTTCATTATCGACGTATTGGGTAGTTACTGTTTCACTTAATATTATACATTAATTTCATCAAAACGTTTTAATATTGATACTGTATCACCTAATACAGTGCAGTTATTTCATTAAAAAGGTTAAATTATCGACGTATTACCATGTAGTTTCTGTATCACCAAATTTAATACAATTATCTCATTAAAACGTTACATTATCGACGTATTGCTGTGTAGTTACTTTATTACCAAGTATAGTATAGTTATCTCATTAAAAACGTTATATTATCGACGTTTTGATGTGAAGTTACTGTATCACCTAATATTATACATTTATCTCATTAAAACGTTTTAATATTGACGTGTTACTGTGTAGATACTGTATCACCTAATACAGTACAGTTATTTCATTAAAAAGGTAAAATTATCGACGCATTACCGTGTAGTTTCTGTATCACCAAATATAATACATTTATCTCATTAAAACGTTACTTTATCGACGTAACATGAACTGGTATGTCGACAGACTACCGACACATAGATAAATATGTTGACAGAATACCGACACATGAACTGATATGTCGACAGACTACCGACACATAGATAAATATGTTGACAGAATACCGACACATGAACTGGTATGTCGACAGAATACCGACACATAGATAAATATGTTGACAGAATACCGACACATGAACTGGTATGTCGACAGACTACCGACACATAGATAAATATGTTGACAGAATACCGACACATGAACTGGTATGTCGACAGACTACCGACACATAGATAAATATGTTGACAGAATACCGACACATGAACTGGTATGTCGACAGACTACCGACACATAGATAAATATGTTGACAGAATACCGACACATGAACTGGTATGTCGACAGACTACCGACACATAGATAAATATGTTGACAGAATACCGACACATGAACTGGTATGTCGACAGACTACCGACACATAGATAAATATGTTGACAGAATACCGACACATGAACTGGTATGTCGACAGACTACCGACACATAGATAAATATGTTGACAGAATACCGACACATGAACTGGTATGTCGACAGACTACCGACACATAGATAAATATGTTGACAGAATACCGACACATGAACTGGTATGTCGACAGACTACCGACACATAGATAAATATGTTGACAGAATACCGACACATGAACTGGTATGTCGACAGACTACCGACACATAGATAAATATGTTGACAGAATACCGACACATGAACTGGTATGTCGACAGACTACCGACACATAGATAAATATGTTGACAGAATACCGACACATGAACTGGTATGTCGACAGACTACCGACACATAGATAAATATGTTGACAGAATACCGACACATGAACTGGTATGTCGACAGACTACCGACACATAGATAAATATGTTGACAGAATACCGACACATGAACTGGTATGTCGACAGACTACCGACACATAGATAAATATGTTGACAGAATACCGACACATGAACTGGTATGTCGACAGACTACCGACACATAGATAAATATGTTGACAGAATACCGACACATGAACTGGTATGTCGACAGACTACCGACACATAGATAAATATGTTGACAGAATACCGACACATGAACTGGTATGTCGACAGACTACCGACACATAGATAAATATGTTGACAGAATACCGACACATGAACTGGTATGTCGACAGACTACCGACACATAGATAAATATGTTGACAGAATACCGACACATGAACTGGTATGTCGACAGACTACCGACACATAGATAAATATGTTGACAGAATACCGACACATGAACTGGTATGTCGACAGACTACCGACACATAGATAAATATGTTGACAGAATACCGACACATGAACTGGTATGTCGACAGACTACCGACACATAGATAAATATGTTGACAGAATACCGACACATGAACTGGTATGTCGACAGACTACCGACACATAGATAAATATGTTGACAGAATACCGACACATGAACTGGTATGTCGACAGACTACCGACACATAGATAAATATGTTGACAGAATACCGACACATGAACTGGTATGTCGACAGACTACCGACACATAGATAAATATGTTGACAGAATACCGACACATGAACTGGTATGTCGACAGACTACCGACACATAGATAAATATGTTGACAGAATACCGACACATGAACTGGTATGTCGACAGACTACCGACACATAGATAAATATGTTGACAGAATACCGACACATGAACTGGTATGTCGACAGACTACCGACACATAGATAAATATGTCGACAGAATACCGACACATGAACTGGTATGTCGACAGACTTCCGATACATGGACATGTATGTTGACATACAAAGTGAACCTAGCGTACAAGACTATCCACACATGAACTTGTATTTCGTCAAACTAAGCGTAATTTAGCGTACAAGACAACTGGCTCAAGCGTTTCATAGTTCCGCTTTGTGTGTACACATAAGCAGTGTTGGCTATTTATCAGAAGGTTATTCAAGGTCACAAAAGGATCTGTGTGATTCTAACCCGCTTACCATTACATTACGTCCTACTGAATAGCAGTCTTAATTTCACCACAATGAAAATGATAGTGGGACGGGGAATTGTAAACGGCAACACATCTCATTTCATTTTTGTCGTTTGAAAGAAAGAACTTTAAATGACCCCTCTCCGTTCCGCAGACTTAACCTTAACAAACATTATACAGGAACCGATTGGTACCCTGAATTAGCCATCGAACCATGTGTAGCGTAGGTATCAATATC